GGGGGGGGAGTATTCTTGGCACTGACTACCACTGTAAACGGGGAGGGGGGGGGCATTCTTAGCACTGACCCTCCCCCCCCCAATAAGTCGGTTTTAGCAGGGGTTCCCCTAGACCTGAAAATTATTTGAAAGAGTCCTCTGAAGTTAAAAGGTTGAGAAAAGCTGATCGAATACTAAATGAATGACTTCACTTGTTCGAGTACTGTGTATCATGAACAATTGCCATGGGATTTTTGTATTAAATACTGTATCACATATTTATCCTATTTTTTTTTTTTCTGTGATGCTGATCTTCTCCAACCTTTTTTGGCCTCTTCCTGTGTATATGCACTCTCTCCAGTGTTGGCTTGACATCGTTACTCTGGACCAACTTCCTGGTGCTGACAATGTTGGACTATGCCTGTGTTGGATTTGCCACTTGTAGGCTCAACGGGGGTGCATGTGACAGGGCGACAACGCAGCACTGCAGTTGGAAGACAGTTGTCACCCATAAGAGGAAATGCCTGAACAAGAATATTTCTGGCAGGTCACTAGTATTTTTATAAAAGTTGCAGATTTTAAAAATCTGACACACCTTTTGAATTTTCATTAACCTGTTACATAGACGAGATTTTTGTACTTGGGCTTAGTTTTACTGCAATACCAATGCATGTGTAATTGTTTATTAGGTTTTATAATCCCATAATGATTTGATCTGTTTTATTCATACCCTTAATGTCATATTCCCCTTGTCTTTAGATTTGTATCCTAGAAAATGAAGTTGATTTTGGCGAGGTCTCTGGAGCAGAAGACTGGGACAAATGCTGAGTGCTTCATTTTGAGCCTCTGAAATGCTGTGGAAATATTACAATTCTTTGAGGGGAGTTTAACAAAACTGGAGCAGACAAAATCTGGAGCAGTCGCCCATGTCAACCAATCAGCTTCTCTCTTCATTTTCAAAACATAACTCGGGAATGGCTAAACTCCGGCCCTCCAGCTGTGGTGAAACAACAAATCCCATGAAGCATCTCTCCGCGAATCATGTCTGTGGCTGTGAGAATCTTGCAAAGCCTCATGGGATTCGTAGTTCCACCACAGCTGGAGGCCCGCAGTTTGGCCATCCCTGAAGAGAGAAGCTGATTGGTTGCCATGCACAGCTGCCCCAGATTTTGTCTGTTCCAGTTGTGATAAATTCCCCCCTATGTGTGTTGGGCAGCATTGCAAGGTTTAAAGGGGTTTTGTTAGGTCTACTTTACATTCATTGCAGTTCTGCTACAAATCAGTGTAGTGGATTCCATCTAGCATTGTGGTTCACCTCTTCAGTTCTGCAAGCGCTGACATTTTGCAGTATAGTAAATGGTTTTGTCCTAAAAGATCCAAGCTTTAAGTGACTTGAAGTGAGTTATTTTTGGATGTATCTCAGTAGGCATTCTATCTTTCCTGGAAAGCCTTACATTTGGAATGGTTGTGTTCTACTTATGGGTATGTACTAAGAATTGTTTTTCTAGGTGTTCCATATTGGCTTTGACATTTTTAAGTTAATGACAAATGTGATTGAAGCTGAACTCCATGAATATATATATTATAGTTTTAATCTTACTCTGTAAAAATGTTTTACCTATAATGGAGGTGAACCTAGGACTTGAATGCTGTTGTGTAGTGTTACAAACGCTGGCTCCACTGATGCAGGATACCACAGTCGGTGCTCATCTTTCAGCTCTCATGCACTGAAGGAATCATGCCATTTACTCTTCCTTTCCTAATCCCTTCACAATTATGCTGTCATTTACCAACCCCTCCTGTCCATTGTCCATTCACAGAATGCCTTGCATTATATGAACAGAGTACAAGGGGGGGGGATACATCAAAATCTGGAGCAGTTGCCCATGGCAACCAATCAGCATCACTTCAGTTTGCTTAGGTAAGATTTGAAAATGAGACAGATGCTGATTGGCTGCAGTGCAAATCTGCTTCAGTTTTGATAAATTCCCCCAAGGTATTTTGTGAATGGATGAGGGGGAGAGGAAAGAGTAAATTACATGATGCCTCCACTGTACGAGAACCACAACTGTCACTCGCTGTGCTGGAAGAAGAGCAATGATTCTAGTATCTGGCATCCGTGGAGCTAGCATTTGTATACTACACGGCAGCCCTCAAGATCTAGGATACCATCATTAGAGGTAACTCATTTGAATCGAGCATTAAAAAAGGATTCCTGGAGTCTGCTTTATCTGCATCTTTTTAGAACCTTGCTGGTATTCCACTCTAGGCCTTATCATGTAAAGGCTTCTGTCATGTCAACAGGTCACTGCAGAAGATGGTTCAGTTGTGGTTCCTTTGTGCTGATTTCTCTAGTTTTGTTCAGTATTTTGGGAGGGTTCTTAAATCAAGGGCAAGCATTTTGGCTTTACAACATACTAACTTGCTGCATTATCGTTATTTCTTGTGCAAATGTTCCATTCAGTTAAGGAGTTTTTTTCCCTCTCAGTATATCGGGACCATGCAGTATTTGATTTTAAAATTGTTTGCTCCAAGCTCAGTCCCGTGATGGACTACAATCTCACTTTTAGTTTACTAATTTGTATTAGGCCTCATTCACACAACGCCAGAGCAAAATTGTACGCATATTTGTAAATGTGTGTATTCGTGTATGCGCAAACTGTATGCAATCCCAGAATGCATAATTTTTAATGGAAACTGTAATGTACTGTGCGCGCGTATATGTGCGCACGCGCATAAATTACGTAGAAATTACGAGCCAGGACACATCTCGGTTCCATTTTTATTTTGCGCATCTTCACGCATCGCAAAAATACAGCTCCATACGCTGCTATGTGTATGGAGCCATTTATTTACATATGGGAAAAAATGCTGCACACATCTATGCACAGCGTATTATACGGCAGTGTGAATGAGGCCTTAAAGTTAGTCTATCGCAAGAGCGAGTCTGAAGCGGTGATGACTTTGCAACACACACAGGGACCATGGGGATCAAAAGTAGCCACCCTCCAGAAGGAAGGACAGTGATACACAAAAGATAAATTTTTCTTTATAGTTGGCATACTTGAATGCAATTTTAGAACTTAACGCCTGAGTTTAGTGTCACTTTAAAGGAGAACTATGGGGTTAAGGCTTTTCCCCATAGTTCTCCTAAGGGTAACGGGAGGACGCTAGTTTGTGGCCTCCCGTTACCCTATTGGGAACTGTAGCTTGCAGTTTACTGAGACGCCGCAGTATACCGCGAGCTGCTGCGCGTGAGATGCTGTAGCGGATCCCGACAATTGTGCGCTGGCAGATCGGAGCGAGGAGGGTGGGAATCCAGCCCCTCCCCTGTCATGGCAGAGAGCCGTGACAGGATCGAGAGGTGAGCGAACGCGTTGTGTTTGCTGACTTCCCGATCTACTGAGCCGACCTGTGACAGTCTCATTGTCACAGGTCGGCTAGAACTATGAGGTGAGTGAAAAGCACTCACTTCATAGTTCTCCTTTAATTGTTCACCCACACAAAGTATAGTATACAGTGCTCTGAAGTTCTCCCTCAGTTCTACTTGGAGCCATCCATTGTGTACTTGGTTCTTTGCTCAGTCCTAGATCAGATTAAAATAAAAAATAAGGTTGCACGTACAAAGATTGCATCAGACTACTTGCAGTCATACTTTTGCCCCCTTGGTGGGAAGACCTTGCTGACTTAAAGCACTGCTTTTTTTGTGGAGCTCTTAAAGCTTCTTATGTCTTTCATTTGCTGCTGTTTTTCCAATATTACTTTACAATTTGACAAATTCTATTGTAATGTAATTTTTTCTTTTTTTAGTGTTCTGATAAACCAGACATTTTATATATACTTTTTTTTTTTTTTGGCCTAAGACATGTAACCACACAAAGTATACAGTGCTCTGAAGACTCATCTGGTCATCAGTTCTACTTGGAGCCATCCATTGTGTACTTGGTTCTTTGCTCAGTCCTAGATCAGATTAAAATAAAAAATAAGGTTGCACGTACAAAGATTGCATCAGACTACTTGCAGTCATACTTTTGCCCCCTTGGTGGGAAGACCTTGCTGACTTAAAGCACTGCTTTT